GAGCGCGCTCTCGCGGCGGTGCGGGAGGCCATCATCCAGGAGTGCGCCGCGGGCTTCGGCGGTGCCAGCTTGGACTCGCTGTCGAATGTCTATGGGCTCCTGTGCATGCCCACCCTGGCAGAGTTCCCCGAGCCCCCCTGCCCGCCCGTGATTCGGTGGAGCGATCATGCGGGGCCTTGGCGCGGCACCGTGTACGCCGACGGGTCCGGGCACGCGGCCGACGTCCCCGAGCTCACGCAGTGCACGTGGTCGGCGGTCCAGATCAGCGACATGGGCATCCCGTTGCGAGCTCTTTGTGGTGCGCTCCCCGGGGGCATCCAGACCGTGGCGCGGGCTGAGCGCTACGGCGGCGTCATGGCCTTCGAGGCGGGGGACGGCGTCGACTGCCTGGTCTCCGACCACCTCTCGTTCGTGACCGAGGGTCTGCGCTGGAGCGCCAGGGGCGCATCCTCGCGCGGCACCCATGCGCGGCTTTGGCGACGGCTGCGCAGCGCCATTGCGCGGCGCGCCGACGCCGCGGCGCCCGACTTTCGCTGGGTCCCCTCTCGCCTCGCAGCCGAGGAGGCGCTCCACCGTGGAGTGCCGCTCATAGACTGGATTGGCAATGCTTGGGCAGACTGGTTCGCGTCGGTGGCCATGTGGCATGTCCGGCTGGCGCCAGGGCTCGCGCGGAACCTCGAGCTCAGGCTCCAGCACGTTCTCAGCGTCGTGGAGTTTCACGTGTGGGCCTCCGTGCAGGTGTACTCATCGGGCCTCTGGGACTCGAATGAGGCGGCGATGCCCAGGCCGCCCCCGGCCCCGCCCAAGCTGACCATCATCCAGCACGACTTGCACTGGTGCCCCCACCCTCGGTCCCAGGACCGCCAAGGCCTTGTCTGCCTTGCCTGCAGGCGCACGGCCTTCACCGAAGACACCCAACGGGCGTTGGCGGGGTCCGCGTGCGCGCCGACCACCCTGGGCCACGAGCGGGCGCTCTCCGTCCTCGGGGCCGCGCCCGCAGCAGCAGGCACTTCGCCGGCGGTGCCCCCCCCGGCCACCTGTTGCGCCGACGCCAGCGTGGCCTACGGGAGCCAGCGAGACGCCAGCCTCCAGGCCAAGGTGGGTTATCTCCTCCACGCCGCACGCGCTGCCGCCTTCGCCGTGCGGGCCGCCGGCGCGTTGACGCCGCGGCCCGCGGCCGGTGGAGATTCTGGCCTGGATCGGGCGCCCGCGCCGCCCGCGCCGCAGCCCGCGGCCGCTGGAGATTCTGGCCTGGATCGAGCGCCGGCGCCGCTGCCGCGCCGCTGGCTGGTGGGCCCGCTGGTGGAACGGTGGCAGAGGCTGGCGGACCGCCGTGGCAGGCCGCGCGATGATGGCCCAGCGGGCGGCCGCGGCTCGGAACCCGGAGATGATGACTTCGCGCCGCGCCCCGAGGCTGGCCCCTCTCAGCCGGCTGGTCAGGGCCCCGTGCCTGGCCGTGCTGCGCGCGAAGGGCAGGGGCGTGGTCGGTCCCGCTCACCGGCTCGCGAGCTCGACGCCGGGCCGCACCCCGACGCTGGCCCCTCGGCGCTGCCGCCCGCCGATGATGGAGAACCTGACGCAGGGGGCGCGGGCGCGCCGTCCGCTCCCAGCCCGGCGCAGGGGGCTGCGGTCTTGCACCTCGTGGGGGCCCTCGCGGTGGGGGCGCTCTCGGCCGCGGCCGCGACCCGTGGGGCCGAGGGCGCCGAGGCGGACCCGCAGCTGGACGCGGCGCCTGGCGCAGGAGAGGAGGCGACCCCTCCCGATGCCCTCGCGGCGCACGACGGCGGGGGGCAGGCCGCCGACGGCGCTGACGCGCTCCGCCCGGCGCCCAAGCGCCCCAAGCGGGCTCCGCGGCCGCCGCGCGCTGGCCCGATCATGGCGGCGCTTGGCCCGATGAAGGAGAGGCTCGAGGAGCGCGCCCGAGGTGCGGAGGCACCCGCGCTTTCGGCTGCCTCAGCTGGGGGCGATGCTCCCCCTGCTGGTTCGGCGGAGGCGGCGGCGCCCCGTGGCGCTGCCTCGCAGGTGCACGTGCCCGGCGACGCCGAAAGCCACGGCCGGCAAAAGTGCGGGGCCACGGTGAGCCGCCCCGCCGCGCGACCTGCCTTGGGCACGAGCGGTGGCGCGGCGTCCGAGGGGGCAAGGCCCCCCTCCCGCCCACCTGCTCCTCCTGCCGCTGCTCTCGCCCGCGGGGGGGGGGGGGTCGTCGTCGTCGGGTGGATCGTCGGGTGGAGCGGGCGTCGGGTTGGGAGAGAGTGCGAGCGGCCCCGCCGGCGCGGGTGGTCCGCCCGCGTGCGTGCAGGACCGTGGCCACGAGTTTGTCACGTGTTCGACGTTCGTGGTCTGCCGTCGCTGCGGGGCCTACGCGTCGCGCGAGGCCAGGCGGCTCCAGAACGATTGCACTGGAGCTCTCCCCCCGCTCAGGGAGTGCGACCCTGCCGAGAGAGAGCGGCGCCGACGACGCGATCGCCTCCTGGCAGGGTTGCACCCCCGCACGGGTGCCAGCCTGAGCGGTGCCCCTCGCGGCCTCTTAGGGGCCCTGTGGCGGGGCCCCTCTGGTCCTGCTCGGCCTGGGCGGCCCGTGTGGTTGGGGTGGTCCTGGGGCCCCGTCGCCTTGGCTGGCAGCTGTGCTTGCGTAGGGCTTGGGGCCTAAGCTGCCCGCGTTGGCCCCCGCGGCCAACGCGCCTGGGGATCCATCCTAGACGTTTCGGGAGGCCCCTGTGGCCTGCCACTCGGCCCAAGTGCTGAGTGGCCCTGGCGCCCAAGCGGTGTCGCACGGCGACGCGGGGACGCGTTGCCAACTGGCCGAGTCGGCGGGTAGGCCCCACGGGGTCCCCTGCCGTCCTCGCATGGCGTTCCAACACGCACACATTCACATTCACATTCACATTCACAGTTACATTCGCATTCACATTCACATTCACATTCACATTCACATTCACATTCACATTCACATTCACATCCACATTCACATTCACATTCACATTCACAGTCACAGCTGCAGTCACATTCACATTCACATTCACATTCAGATTCACACTCACAGTCAGATTCACATTCACATTCACATTCGCATTCACATTCACATTCACATTCACATTCGCATTCGCATTCACAGTCGCATTCACATTCAAATTCACATGTACATTCACATTCACATTCCCATTCACATTCACATTCACATTTTCATTCACATTCGCTTTCACATTCATATCCACATTCACATTCACAGTCACAGTCACAGTCACAGTCACATTCACATTCACATTCACATTCACATTCACATTCACATTCGCATTCACATTTACATTCACACTCACATTCACATTCACATTCACATTCACATTCACATTCACATTCACATTCACATCCACATTCGCATTCACATTCACATTCGCATTCGCATTCACATTCACATTCACATTCACATCCACACATCACATTCACATTCACATTCACATTCATATGTACACTCACACTCACAATCACACTCGCACTCGCACTCACACTCACTTTCGCACTCACACTCACACTCACACTCGCACTCACACTCACACTCACACTCACACTCACACCCACACTCACACACACATACACACACACGCAGACACGCAGGCACGCAGACACAATCAATCGTCGACTCCCAGGAAAGTATGGGAAGCGCTAGGAAGTTGACGAACGGACAACACACACACACCCATACCAACAGGGAGGTCGGAGGGAGAAGGACTGGCTATGGGTATGGGTGCGGGTTGTCGGACCCCTGAGGAGGCCCCCGTTCGAGCGGGGACCCCTATCCGACAACACGCACCCATAGCTCATTCCGTCTCCCCTATGGGTATGGGTGCGTGTTGATCGTTCGGCAGAGGTGGGGGGGGAAGACAAGAGGTGGGGGGGAAACATGGGGGATCCTGTTGTCTGTGTGCACTTAGTTGTGTGTGTCCCAGGGCCGCTTCGTCAGCAACCCCCCCAACAGAGCCCCGAGGCCTGCCGCGCCCCAGGGTCGATGGGGCCAGAACTGCCTGGTGGGGCTGCCCGCGCGCAGAGCCCGGGAGGAGGAGGAGGAGGAGGAGGAGGAGGAGGAGGAGGAGGAGGAGGCGGAGCCTTCCCGCGGGGCTGGGCAGCGGGGGGGGGGCCCCTTCGGAGGCCTGGATGGGGGCGGGAAAGGGGGGGGGGCGATGACTACCAGGGGGGGTGGATCTGGACGCCCGAAATGTGCACGGAAAGAATGGGTACAATGCCCAACAACAAATGTTGTCCCAAATCAACAGCGGCCGTTGCTGGGCAGGCGGCCCTCTGTCTCAAATGGACACAGGCCGCGGCGACACCGACAACGAGTCCTGTTCAGAATGAACAGGAACTGCAGTTGGGCACTGTACCCATTCTTTCCGTACCCATTTCGGGCGTCCAAAGTGGATCTCATGGCGGGGGCCATGATATTTTCCAGATTTCGTGGCGCCTCCTCTTGCTTCATTGCGTCCCTGGTCCCCCGCTGGGCCGCGCACGTGCCGCCAGTCATGACTTGGACCCCCCTCTCTTGGACACCCCGCTCTTGACCGCTCCCGACAACACCAATATCGGCGTCGTGCCTCCACCGAGGGCAGAGTACCCCCATCTTGGTGATGGTGGTCAGACTCTGGCTTCCCGGGCGGCCGAAAGATCACCGCCGACACCGAGATCTAGGATCGTCTTCCCCTGGTGGAGGGAACTCCCCGTGTTGGTGTTGGTGCCGATTTTTCGATGTTCGTTTCGGGGACCTTCCTGGAGCCCACCTAACGGATCTGTTCGACCCCAGTTCGACTCAAGTTCGACTCAAGTTCGACTCAAGTTCGACTCAGGTTCGACTCAGGTTCGACTCAGGGTCGACCCAACTCGACTGACGTTCGACGCAGCTTCGACGCACGAGGGGATCGAGTGGCTCCAGGAAGGTTCCCAGAACGAGCATCCAACGATTTCCAAGCCTCCGATCCCTCGCCCGACGCCAGGGCTTCGGCCGCCCCCAGGCTTGGGCGTTCGCCGCCGCTGGCTTCCACGACCGCCCGCTGCTGCTCCCCGTCGCGGAGGCCTCCCGCCGCCGCGCGGGCGAGTTCAAGACGCAGGCCGCGAGGAGGAGGAGGAGGAGGAGGATGAGGAGGAGGAGGAGGAGGACAAGTGGGGAGGAGGCAGGAGGAGGCAGGACGAGGGGAGGGTGGTGGGGAATCGGACGAGGGGGGGAGATGGAGATGGAGATTCGATCGCGCGCAGAGGGGGCATGGAGCATGGGGGAGGCTTCTTATACAGAACGTTCTCGACGACGGTAATGTTCTTGAATTCATATTGTAGTGGCCTCTGGCCATTGCCGCCGATTCGGGCCCCCCCGGATTCGCGTCAAAATGGACGACGACGACGAAGACGACGCTCCTCCTTTTTCCTTCCACTTCTTTTCTCTACCTTCTCCCTTCCTGAAGGCATGCTGGGTGCTTCTGGGGGCTTCTTTGGGGCCTCATGGGCTCATGGGGACCGTCAAACATCGATCTGGGGATGAAGACCAACACCGGATGGACCCGGGAGGGGTCCGCGGACCAACTGTCAGCGGATTCGGAGGAGAAGTGGGAGGATGATGATGATGATGAGGAGGAGTCGGAGTCGGAGTCGGAGTCGGAGTCGGAGGAGGAGGAGGAGGAGGAGGAGGAGGAGGAGGAGCAGGAGGGGGAGGAAGAGGCGGTTGATTGGATGGCACATTTGTGGGCAGCAAAAGCAAGACAACGCCAGCATGTAAATGTTGAGGAGGTGGGAGAGGAAGAGGAGGAGGAGGAGGAGGAGGAGGAGGAGGAGGAGGAGGAAGAAGAGGATAACGAGATGAAAAGGAGGAGGAGGATGAGTCAACGGGAGCAGGATGATGAGGTGGTGGAAGAGGAGGAGGCTGAGAAGGTGGGAGGAGGAAGAGAAAAGGGGATAATGGTCAGGATGCAGATGATGATGAGGATGGGGGTGCGTGCACATGAATGATGTAAAATAGCGGGCCCTGTCGTGGACCCCAACCCTCTCGGTGCGTGGGCGCGTGGATAATCGCGCTTCGCCCCGCGGGGGTCCTTGCTCCGTCGTGCTTGCACTGTTTTGGGAAATTGCACTGCGGTGCCGAACAGCTTCTCTGTAGCTGCTCCGTTTGGGCTGAGTGGTTTCTCTTCGACCTGCGGCCTCGAGCTGCATGCGGCCCGTGTCCCTCCCGCAGATCCTCAGTGGCCCGATAGCCGCGGGTCTGCTCGCGCTGGGCACGCGGAGGCAGCCCTGCCGCGTTCCCCCGGAGCCGCCGATCTGCCCGGAGACGTGCGCGGAGGCACCGCCCTGCGTGTGCCCAGCGGCGCCGGCGTGCGTGTGCCCGGAGCCTGTGGCCTGCCCGCCGACGGAGCTCAGCAGGGAGGAGGTGCTGATCATCGGCGCGGCCACCTGGGCGGTGCAGACGGGCGTCGGCTGGGTCACGAGCGTGGGGCGCAGGCTCCTCGGACGCGGCAGAGGCCACGGCGCTCGTTGGGCTCGGCGCGGAGGCGGAGTTCTGGAGGCGCCTCCTGCCAGGTAGGCACTACCCTGCCTGGTACGATGGGGACGATGTTTACCACGAACGGGTGGCTTTGTGGCCGCAGACGCACGCCAGATGGGTCATCCTGACCCCAGACTTTGACATGTATTCGGAGATGCTGGACGGCAGCGAGGGCGTCGACGGCGTGGTGCGGATCGTCGGCCTGCGCCCAGACGGGCGTCTTCCCCGGCTCGACAAGCCCGCCTACAGGTTCAAGCACGCGCTCGACCTGGACGCCCTGAAGGGGTACATCCGCGAGGGCCGACGCCTGGCCCTGCAGGACGGAGCTGCGGCGGGTGACCCGCCGATCGAGGTCGCGGACGTGGTGATGCCCGATCGTGAGGTGGTGCCGCTGGACACCCTGTTCGGCGGCCGCTTCCTGCCTCGCCGCCTCCCCTTGCGCCGCGGCGCAGCGGCGGCGGCGGCTGGGGCCGGCAACGGGCCCCCTGGCGACGCGGCTGCCGGCTCCGACGCGGGTGCGGCCCCTGCGCAGGCGGCTGTCGGCGACGGCGCCAGCCCAGAGTATCCCCAGGCGGGGCCGCTGGACACACCGCGCGGCCACGCGTGGGTGCTCATGGAGGGCGGCCGCGCCGGCAATCTGGGCGACGAGGTGGTGCTGGGGCCCGATGACTTCAGGCTCTCGGACTACGACGCGATGATCCTCCGCCGGGGGCAGGGCCGCCGGGCCGAGTTTGTCCCCCTCACGGAGGTGGACGAGTTCGCGCGAGCCCGCCGAGAGGAGCTGGCCGACCAGCTGAGGCCAGCTGGGGCAGCTCCACTGGTTCCGCCCCTGGGACCGCCGCCTGGGCCGTCGGCCGAGGCGCCCGAGGGTGCGGACGCCGCCGGCGGCGCAGCCACGCCGCCTCCAGTGGCGGAGGGCGCTCGCACGCTGTGGATCGACTACGATGAGCAGGGCGAGAGGTACAAGCCATGCCGCAAGGCGGTGCAGGAGAGCTTCCACGTGCCTGACCAGCACTGGCCCTTCGAGGGCCCGTCGACGCACCTGTGACCCGCGCTTGTGGCTGCAGCTGTGGGCTCGCACAAAGCAGGTGGACGTGAATGATCGAGTGATGCGCGAGCTGAACTGTCTCGTGGACATGATGTTCTACGCCTCCACCTTCGACCAGCTGAATGTCCCCGCGCTGGCCAGCTTCGAGGTGCTGGCGCGACGGTTCCAGACCATCCTAGATGCGCGCAGGATCCCGGGGCGAGCGCCGAACTGGCAGATGGCTCGCTTCTACAGTGGAGTGACCGCGGCGGTGGATGCCATCGCGCCCGAGCTGCGGCAGTACGGGGCGAAGCGGGCGAAGGAGGAGATCGACGTGGAGACGGGGGCCCAGCGAGTTCGCGGCCTTCCTGGAGGTGGCAGTGGAGCCGGCGGCGACGACGCGCTCGAGGGCGCAGCCGGCGAGGGGCCGAGGGGCCGGGGACGAGGACGTGGTGACGGCGGTCGCGGGCGTGGCAGGGGCGCATTGCCCAAGGCCGGGAACCCCGCGGCCGCCGAGAAATCATGAGCGAGGATATCGCCGAGGGGAGTGGGCCCCCCCTCGGCGCGCAGCTGACTTGGCCCGGTGCTGGGCGCCTTCCAGCCTCTCGCGGAGAACGCCATCTGTTCCCATTACCGCGGCTGGAGGAGCCACATGCAGCACGCGGGGGCGGTCGTCTTAGCCGCGGGCTGCGAGGTCGCTATCTGCACTTACGACTGGCCAACGCGGCGGTCGACGCCCTGAACTGGTTGGCGAAGGCGGCCGGCTCGCCTGCAGCCGGCAGTGGCGGCGGCGCGGACATCCACGGCGAAGTGACTGCGCGCGTCGATGGACTGGCACGAGCCCAGGAGCCGGTGCCTGACGCGCCTTCGCCGAGAGCGGCCTATCTAGAGCTGCTCCGAGGTCGCGGGTCCTACGAGCAGCCGGGCCAGCCGAACATAGCTCCCGTCCAGCTCGGGCTCGTGTCACTGTCGGAGAGCACCCAGGACGCCCCGCGCCTGGAGCGGCTTCTCGACGCAGAGGGCCTACGTTTTCTGGGGGGGTCGTGGAGAGCGGATGCTACGAAGTGTCCCAGACTTTGAACGCCTCCGACAGAGCGATCCAGCGCGGCCTCGCCTGGACCCAGCGTTCACAAAGAGTAGGCGGCTACTGGTTCGATTCATGAAGAGGCTGCATTCCAGTGGCATGCTACGATATACGTCGGAGCCCGTTGAATTTGTCGGAGCCTTTTTCGTCTGGAAGAAGGGAAGACAGAAGATGCGGATGATTACAGATGCGCGCCCTACCAACCAGCGGCTACTACCTCCACCTCGAGTGGACCTGCTGACGGCGGAGGGCCTCTCGCGCCTCGAGGTCGCCGTGGACGGCGACCCGTGCCTGCTGAAGGACTCGAGCTGCGGCATCCTGCGGGCGCTCCGCCTGCGCCTCGGCGTCGGCGACGTGGAGAACTGCTTTCACAGGATGGTGATGCCGCCCTGGATGAGCCCCCTCTTCGCCTTCCCCGCCCTGACCGTCAGCGAGCTCCGCCTAGACTCAGTGGAGACGGTGGAGGGCCGCGTGGCAAGCGGCGATGATGTGGTGTACCCTTGCTGCCGAGCCCTGCCTATGGGATGCTCGTTGTCGTTGTACTTCTGCCAGAACGCCAGCGCGAGCCTGGCGAGGCAGTGCGACCTGCTGCGGGAGGCTCGGCTTGCGACCGACCGCGGCGAGCCCACGGTGTTCAGAGTGGGCGGGGCTCGCGAGCAGGACCTCTGGCACTGCGTGCACGTGGACAACCTGGGCGTGCTGGGGCAGGACGCGAGCTCAGTCAAGAGGGCGCTGGACGAGAAGGTGGCGGCCTTCAACAAGATGAAGCTCGACATCCACGAGGTGGAGTTCTTCGAGAGGAATGGGTCGGCTCTCGGCGTCGTCGTGGGCTGCGAGCGCCTCTGCACCTCCATCACCAGCAAGCGGCGCTGCCGCCTGGAGAGGGCTCTGGCCTACGCGCTGCAGCGAGGCAGACTCTCGGGCCAGGATTTGGAGTGCCTCCTGGGCCACTGCACGTATGCGGGCCTGGTGAGGCGAGAGGTGCTCTGCGTCTTCTCCGCCTGCTACGCCTTCGTGCAGGCCAACTACTGGGAGCGGCAGGTGATGTGGGCGTCCGTCCGCGAGGAGCTCAGCTGCTTCCGGGGCCTCCTCGTCTTCCTCAGCAGCGATTGGGCGTTGCCCTGGAACCGCTGTGTCACGGCGTCGGACGCGTCCGAGAGCGGCTTCGGCGTTGCCTCCACTATGGTGGACGTCAAGGAGGTCGCTCGGGTCGGGCGCGTGGCCGAGCGGGGCCGCTTCCGCCTCGACCTGGAGCTGGCGCCGCGGCAGCGTGCTATGCGGCATGCGGGCTTCGTCGATGACGGCGGCCCCGGGCCGTGGCGCCCTTCGGCGCCCGAGGAGGCATCGGACGGCGCCTGGGCCATCGACGAGAGTTTCGAGGAGGTGCCGGCCGGGTGGCTCGACCAGGGACGCTGGGCCGTCTGCCGCAGCGGGGCCTGGGATAGGGCTGAGGGCATCGCCATTTTGGAAG